CATATATATATATATATTTTCAAATTAACTATAGATGGGAAATCACTTGCCATCCAAAGATTTTCTACTTTTTCTGTGGAAAAATTTTTTTCTAAACAGAATTAAGAGCCCTTCATTTCACCCTTTTGTTCCCTTAATCCTTAATTTGTGCCTCTGCTAATATATTTCTTCATTTCACTCATCAAACGAAGTTTAGTCATCAATCCAAAACCTGTGCTAGGTGCCAAGTGTGCTGAGAAGATTAAGTCATGATCCTTGTACTTAATGCCTCATCAGAAGTGGGTACCATGAGGATGCATTCCTGTTTATATTTCTTTGGGGAACATAAATTTTAAAAATTCTTCCGTATTAACATTAATGATCACTGTCTTCACAGATCTTACATTTCTCAGGCATACACATTGTATGTTTAAAACTTCAATTCCTTTTGCTATTTACCAATATAATAAGCCCAAAACTCATCCTGTTAATAAGCAATGGATTCTACATCTAGGGTTTGCTTTTGTTATATACAATATGTGTTCATCACATATGAACTCTGTGTGTGTGTGTATGTGTGTGTATACAAAAACATGACAATTTCGCAGTGGACATTTCTGTCAAAGGGCAATGAATTATGAATCATGGTCATTTTATTAAATTTTCTTTGTTTGTTTATATTTTCCAAACTTTCTGTGATAAGTGCACATCTTTATGGAATACTTGCTAATCCACTCTATGCCTGAATACGGATATATGTTGGAAGAATTTCTTATGCTGATTTGGTATCTGATTTTTTTAATTTAAATTATGTTTTTTAGTGTACTCTATGGAAATAAAATCACGGAACTCCCAAAAAGTTTATTCGAAGGATTGTTTTCCTTACAGCTTCTGTAAGTATTTGATTGTTTCTAATCCATTGAACTAAATGTTATATTTTAGTCAGTGTACCATCTCATATTTTCATGGAAGCTTCAGAAAAATTTGACCCAGAATGACATAGTTTATTGAAATGGAGAAGATTAACATAGTGGAGCTAAAATTGTTGATGGTTATTTTTTTGAAGAGACAACGCTTCAAAGTTGTCCCCAGCCTGTCTCTCTCCCCCGTCATGAGTGTTTACATCCTGGCTGCTCTGTCTTTTAAAGCTTTTACAATCCCTGTCCTTTGTGAAACTTCTGTGGTTTCATTTAACAACAGTTGGAAAGGAGAGAGACATATCGATATGTTTATCCACCTTTATGCAAAGAATTTGCAGGAGTAACAGTTCCGGAATAACATACCCTAGCACAAAGATGGTGTACAGTAGGCCAAAACACAGCAGTAACACTCAAACTAATCCTTACTAAGAGAATTATCTGTAAATCCCTGGATTATGTCTTTAAAGACCACTTTGCTTAGACAGTAGCTACTTCTCCTTTGTCTCAAAATAAGTATTTACTATACATTTTTATAAGCATAAGACTTGACCCCAGGTGTTATTTTCAATGCTTATGTGAAAAGGAAATTGGAAAAAAAATATGTTCATATTAAGATGGTTGCTGTTGGATCATCAAATTCTGTAGAAATCACCAAACAATAAAAGTATGCTTTTTAGGGCACACACTGGCCTGGCCGCTGCGGGCGCAGAGATGAGTACGATGTAGTTACTTCTCTCAGTTAGTCCATAGTCTACTTTAAAAATTTTAAATTTACAATGTTATCTTCCCTTTTGGGTATATGCATTTTTTTGGCATTGGGGCTCATACCATTGATTTGATAAAAAATTATTCCTAATCCCACAAACTTCCCAAATGTAGATATTTTTTCTTACTTGGGAAACGTCTGTTCATATGCTCAAAAACAGGGATAATTGTATCCTGTTATCCATGTTTTAAGTTTATCATCCAGAATCATATTTTGTATCACAGCCCAGTTGACATGCACGTACACACAAAAGCGAAGCAAATTGTTAACAAAACAGCATTCGCCCTTATCATGAGCAATATTCTCCATTTTGCTCCATTGCTCTCTCCCACAGACCAGTGAGTCATGATAAGTGTTGATCTTAGTTACCTAATGACTTTATTTAGGTTTCAAATTATTTTTTTAACCCTTGCAACAGATAGCAAATATTGTTTCTGATCTTTAATAGAATGATTCTATGCACGTTCCCTCAGGCTAATGTTTTATCTCTATAATAAGGCTCATTTATGATCATTTCTCTACAACTAGGTGAGAACTTGGTTAAGCATCTTAGATCTGCTTGAACAGGTGAGGTATTAGAGAGAAGAGGTATAGGTAAATAGAAGGAACAAAATGAATTAGTGTCCAATAATTTTTTTCTCCCAATTTTTGGACCACATCTATTTAAAGTAAATATTAAACGCTCAGAACAGCACCTTCTTCCACTGTCTTCCGGGCTCCCCACCTTTTCCTTGTCCTAATGTCCTGTGCTTTAACTCCTCTCTTCAGGTAGCTGACAATTTAGGGAACAATTTAGGGACTTGTGTTGTGGCCTCAAGTGGGGAAGAATGGGATTAATCACTCTATACCTCAAACCAGGCTTCTAAGCTTTTAGGAAAGTATTATATAGACTACAGAGAAGGCAAAAAACTTTAGCTTCTGAAGGCAGATTAAAAAAAAAAATTGCAACAAAGAAAACACCACGAAGAAGTCATAGCATTGCATGTGCATGGAACACCTAAGAAAAGCAAGCAATTAAAACAAATCCTTTGTATTAGTTAGAGATTCTTGTGGTCAAAAGGGAAAACATTTCCGAGTGTTAGATAATAAGGCATACAAACCCAAACTACATAGTACATGGTTTTTTGTTTCGTTTCGTTTTGTTTTTGCGAGCTACTAAATATTTGTTAAAAGTCCTAAGTATCAAAGCACTGAGCTAAATGGTGATGGAGAGAAAGATATTTAAAAAAATGTCTTGCCCACAGAAGGCTAAACTGTCTTTGGGCAAAGTGAGCTTAACGTAAAATAGGAGACAAGACTAAATAACACCGAATAACTTCCTTTGGAACCTGGAAGAAGGGATACTTCAGTTGGACAGAAGTCAGATTCTGGAAAAGTCGGACCTTCTGTGAGGCCTTGATAGCCCATAAGGTTGAGTAAAGTGGGGAGCAGGACAAGTATATTCCCAAAGGTGAGTCCAGCATGAAGAAAAGCTCAGACACAACCTTGTACATCTATGAGAATGACGTTTGCCAAACCAAAATATTGATGTAGAATTTCGATAGAGTATAGGAGAAAAAAAATGAGTTTGTGGGATATTGTGATAAACCAAGCTAAATGGATATTTACAATGCAGGATGAGGGCCTTTAATATGGTAACGCATGGTGTCAATCTTCAAGAGGGTTATAAAGTATTCATTCAACAACAGATCTTTAGTGAGCACCTAATATGTGCTGGGTACGTGAGAAAGGTCAGGGAACAAAATATCCTTGCTGTCTGGAGCTTATACCCTTGGGGAAAAGACATGCAAATGACAGTCAGCAAGAACATAATATGTAAGGAAGTCGTATATAGTACAGATATATGTAGCTAGGAAAATAGAAAAAGTAGATCACAGTAAAGAATTTGAGAGTGCTAGAGGATGGGGAGGGACAGAGGCTGACAGTAGTGGAGAGCGTGGTCGGAGTAGGCTGAATTACGAAGGTAAGAGTTGAGCTTTCTCAAAGAAGCAGAATAATTCACCAGGTAGACATGGGGGAGGACATTACAAGCAGAAAAGACTGGCAAAGAGGCCTGTGTGGCTAGAGCGGAAGCAGCTAATCTATGTTTTAGAAAGTTCACTCTGTCTTCTGTTTTGAGAATAGACTGAACTTTTTCATAGTACAGCTCTAAGGACTAACGTTTGATGGCATTTTTTGTGATCGCCTTGACAACCAAGGCTGGATCTACTGTTCTACCTCTGCATCTTCCAGGGAATGTGTTTAATAAGTTCTTCTTAAGTAAATTCATGGATACTAGATTGAGACATTCCTTATTACAACCCTTGCTTTATCTGGTATAACCCCAGATCTTCAGCCTGTGATACATAAATTATTATAGTTAAAAGATTAGTGTTGAGAATTAAAAAAAATGTATTACTTGGTTGGGTTTTCTCAAGAAGGACAGAATCTTGCGGGTGAGTCAGGAGATGCTGCACTTTAATTCTACAACTGTTTGATCAAACAGACTGTTGAATGCCAACAAGATAAACTGCCTTCGGGTAGATGCTTTCCAGGACCTGCACAACTTGAACCTTCTCTCCTTATATGACAACAAGCTTCAGACCATTGCCAAGGGGACCTTTTCGCCTCTGCGGGCCATTCAAACGATGTATGTATATCAGGATTTGGATCAAAGTAGATGACTGTTGTTTTCACTCTGAATTCGAGAGTTCAGTTCATAGCATGTCATGTATAAAAGTGTTCTGTGTGTGTTTCTGAAAGGCATTTGGCCCAGAACCCCTTTATTTGTGACTGCCATCTCAAGTGGCTGGCGGATTATCTCCATACCAACCCGATCGAGACCAGTGGTGCCCGCTGCACCAGCCCTCGGCGTCTGGCAAACAAAAGAATCGGACAGATCAAAAGCAAGAAATTCCGTTGTTCAGGTAATTTCTCACTTCACGTGACATGTCCCCTGTGTCACCAAAAACAGTGGTTACATGAGACCTAGAGACAGCTGGCCTTCAGCTGAATTACCAAGCATTATAGAATCATATTTCTTTTTTCTTCTGTTCATAAAGAAAAGAAAATAAAAAGTATAAACACAATTCATATATCCCTCATATGTAACATTTGTTAACACGACGTAAAGCAGAATGAGTAGGCTACTGGCCAAGAAAAAAGGATGTCTGGATACTTCATACCGTATTCCCAGGGTTCAGACTTAATAGGGGCCTTTTAGCTAACTCAGAATACCTTTAAGCCTGTTCAATCTCATGTTTGTTGTATTAGTCTTCACTGAGAGACTTAAGATAATTAATCATGTTTTTATTTCTTGAGAAAGTGAACTGAGGCTTGGTTGCATGATTTGCTCAGGCTCAGAAGTAGAGGTAAATCTGATCCCTCGCTTCTCACTCAGAATGCTGTGTTTCTTCATTTTGCATTCTCTTATTTCGAATAGGACTGTGAGAATACCTTTTTTTCCAAAAGGCCATTTTTTACCATTTTGAAAATATTACATTTATATATAAAAAGCTAAATAGAAATGCATTGTATTAATAGTAACTAGAAAGCTTACTTCATTAAAGCTTACTGTTTGCTTTGGTCTAATCTTTTCTGTTCTCTTGTGATAAAATACATTCTATATGTTTTGGGAAGTATACTACCTAACTCTTTTAGGTGTATTTCACGTTTGGCAGTTAATTCATACTAAAAAGCTGATATCGAGACAAAACTGGTTATTGTCCATGGTTCTAGATGCATTTACTACTCACTGTCCATTATTGTACTGCTGTGAATATACATTTTTCACTTAATTATCTGTAGTAACTTGAGTCCATTCTTGGTCTAATATAACTCATATCTCTGCTTGCTGACATTCAGGTGCATCTTCTATTTTTTTTCTCTTTTTTTATTTAGCTAAAGAACAGTATTTCATTCCAGGTAGGTTTTGCTTGGTAGTAGGACTAACTGCAGACACCCTTTCCTCTCCTTATAAAATATAGCTTCTAAACTTTTGATATGCATGCTTTTGAAAGTACAGTGCGCACTCTGTAGATAGATTCACTTCTGCATAGATCACTTGTAGCTGTTTTCCTGAACACTTGACCGTTGCATGCAGCTTCTGATGTTAAACATATATGTTATTAAATTCCCACCTTTTTTTAACTTTTTTTCTCACTTTGGCATATTACCTAAATTTCTCACAGTAGCTAAAATGTTCGAACCTATGGCTTTCTACTTAAATCATTTTCTCTCCTTACCTTGTATATCTGATCTTTCAACCTGTTTTTAAAATATGGCTTATTGAGCTGGTTTTAAAGACAGACATTTCTGTCATCAAGGAGCTAGTTCTACATGAAATCAGTTATGAACACACAGAATTGTGTTTTCAATTATGAGATTTACTTTTTTAAAATGGGTTTTACACTAAAAAAGTGTTTCTTTCTTTTTGCTTGACTTTGCTTACTGCTGCTTCATTTTTTGTGCAAAAACAGCAACTTCCTAGTGATTTACATGCAGTTGCACTGTGTGACTTTACATTCTTGCATACCTGGAGTCATAATAAAACTCCCCCAAAACAATACTGACATCGATCCCGAAAGCATCAGAAGTTCATGAGCCTTAAGTGCTTTGAGTCATTTAGGCAGATGATGAAATCTTTCTTAGAAAAGTAATTGAAATGTTTTACCACTATAATCTTCACACTATCAAAGCTGATGTTTCTAGAACTAGCTCTTTGAAATATGTATCTTTTTGTACTGTTTCCTTGCCTGCCAGTTGTGTAAAAAGCCTCTTGATTTGTTTGTTTTAAACTATTATATAAGAATATATGTTAGTACTAATTGATTGGCCACATTTACCATCTGCTGAGTATATCCTAGTCTCTAATATATTTTAACAGCTGTAAATTAAAAAGTATTTATATAGTATTAGTGTCCAAAAATCCATACCTATTTTCTAGAGAACTCTGGGTTTTGTCTCTATTTTAAGGAGATATGTGTTGCTTGCCATTATTGAATTATAATTTGAATAATTTTACACGTTTAACAGATTTTGTTATATTATTTTGAGCTTGGTTGATTAATAATATTTTATATATTACATTGGCTGCATAAGAAGTAACCAATTGAAAAGAACAGTTGATTAGCTTTCACTGGTAATCTTTAAAATTCATTATTTTTACCCAATTATTAAGTAGAAAGTCATCTGGTAGCTATTACTTACCCCAAAAAAGTTATATTTTAAACACCAGCAGAACTGTAGGATAAAACATTAGTATTATTTACATCCTCAAATTATAGCAGTTAATATAATTGTTACCAAATTATTCAATATGTTACATTTAAATATACTTACTAACGATTTAAAAAATAATATCTTCAATTCACCAAATAAAGAACAAAAGTCAGATTGTTTTCATAAATTCTGATACAGTTTTGCCCGCTTATTAACAGCAGCCAAAATAAGTTTTGGAAAACACCTTTTATATCAGATATCATGGCTTACTTGTCAATTTCTGATCATTCAATTTATATTATTTAAAACAATAATTATAGAAGTCAGGACTCAGGAGAATTCTTTGGTCCTTTTCTCCCTTTCCCCCCACCCAAGGTTTTAATTAATATTTGAGCCTATCTAAAGGGGTGTCATGAAATAAGCATTATTGTCATTGCATTGAATGCAGATTATTTTAAATATAAGATATCCCCCTAGTGTTCCTGATTTTTAGACTTTGTTCCAAATATTTTCTTGTTTTACTTTTAAAACAAAAGCTTAAACCACAATACAACAGATTTTCAATAAATAATCATGACATTAATTCCAAATGTAATGAAATCATTATATTCGGCTTTGCAAACTTCTTACGAGATTCTGATTCCATTTTAACTAAGTGACATTATTCATAAATTGGAAAGGTTATTAAAAAGCGTGCAAGCCACAAGCTAAAGACTCATCCAAATGAGGATAGTCCTTGAAGAGCTCAATGATTAGGTTTTCACTTAATTTTACATGGTTACTTGCCTACCACCATGCTATATGGCATTCTAGACATGACAGACAACAACAAAGAAAATCTGTCTTGCAGAGAGTTTATCTTTTAAAGGAATTGACAAGAACTTAATCTGTGCTATGCATCTTGTATGCCATTGCTTTTCCTGTAAGACCACCATTAATAAAAGTTTACAAAGCATGACAATTTTTATCATACCATGCCATTCCCTGATAACTGCCACAGTAAGGAAAGGAGAAAGAGACCTTATTTTATATATATATACATATGTGCCTATATTAATCTTAATCGGGATTACTGTCTTTTTTTCCTTCTTGGTGATCTTTACTTTTGCAGGAGTTCACCATTTTGGCTGTAAGTAAAAGTGTCTGATCTGAAATGTAATGCCCTCCCTTTTCAATCCTGATGTACTTTCTTCTAGTCTCGATCTTTTGCGCCTTTATCATTATTATTATTATTATTAATTTTTTCAAGAAGAAAGCACAGATCTTTTGAGCTTCTCTGTTTGTCCTCGTAGCTCACCTCCAACTTCTTCCTGGATGTTGTTCCCGAAAGCTGTTGTTCCGTCCTGCAGTTCTGAAGGAACGGTGGAGGCGCCCTTCAGTGTAGCCCCTTCTTTGTGTTTCCAGGAAATCTTCGGTAGTTACACTCTGACTATGGTCCTAAGCATTCTATGGGAAGAATGCATGTCATGTGAACAGTACCACACTTCCAGAACGTCTGTAGCTTTTTTTCCTGCTTCCCTTCATCTTTCCTCTCCGTCTTACCCTTGGCCTAGTGGATGGTGTAGTGATTATGTAGCGAGATTTTCTGTTGTGCTTGATCTAACCATGTGGTTGCCAGGTATGAGGAAAACATGGTTCCGTCAAGCACCATGGAACGTCACGCAGCTTTCTACAGCATGACAAGCTGCTGAGGCTTAAATCAGGATTTACTTGTCTCTCTTTATAAAATCAAAATGAAAAAAAAAGAGGGCTTTTTAGGCATTTCTGAAGATTACGTGAGTGGGAGAAAATAATAAAAGACCATAGAAAATTTAAAAACCTGAGTGCATCTATTTGCCTTGAAAGCCCTAATTTAAAATGATACATAGGAATATGTTTATTATGGATACATTTTAAATTCCTGACTCTGAGAAAAAATAATCTTTTTCACAATTAATAGCCATTGTGTGATTAGCTGTCAAATAGGCTAGAATGGCTCATAACTGGATCAGCAGAAAGTACAGCTGTGAAAAGCTCATCTCTCTTACTGTTTTCCTGTCCTGTGAATCTAGTTACTCTTTTTTTCCAGCAAATTACAAGCCCTTGTTTTAACCCTCTCCTGACATCCATTGACCAAATTTCCCCCAAGTTGCCTCCCTGCTGCATAATCTATAGTTATCTTCCTTTTTTTCCTTCCGACAAATGAACAAACATTCTAACCTGTAGACTCAGTATTTTTTTTTTTTCCATTTTTTTTGGCTTGAATCCTCAATAGGTACAGAAGATTATCGATCAAAATTAAGTGGGGACTGCTTTGCAGATTTGGCTTGCCCTGAAAAGTGCCGCTGTGAAGGGACCACAGTTGATTGCTCCAATCAAAAACTCACCAAAATCCCGGACCATGTTCCCCAGTACACTGCAGAACTGTGAGTTCATCTCCCAGCAAAATCCAGGGTGGGAAGGAGGAAACGAACACATCTAAGTATTGGAATTTTAGTCTTGCCCTTTTATTCTCAATAATTGCAGTAATGTTAATGAACACACAGTGACATAACTCTTCTCTGTAGAAGAATATGTTAGAAGCTATCTTCCTTCACCTTTCTGGCCCAAGATGCAACTATAAAAATTATTTTATATCTTCCTTCACCTTTCTGGCCCAAGATGCAACTACTGGCTTTCGTTAACCATTGTCACTATAATCAAAATAAATAAATTTTACCTGAAACTTACTGGATTTCGTTAACCATTGTCACTATAATCAAAATAAGTAAATTTAAAAAAATTATTTTACCTCTCAAAAATTCAGTTAGCATTTAATAATACTACTAATAATAGCATTCATTTACATGTATTGCTTCAGCATTATTTATGCCTAAACCTATTTCTAAGCACTGAATAGATTTTAAGCATGTTTAGTCTTTACAGCAACCAAATAGTTTGCGAAGCACCATTTTTAATCTCTGTTAATTACAAATTCAATCTGAGAATCTTTTTGTAATCTGCTTTGCTACCTCACAGACACACTGCTGGAAGGATTCGATGATTATTAAGTATTAAAGCACAAAGGATAGTTTTTTCTGAACAATGTATAGCATAGCAGAAAATACTGAAAAGACAGAGTGTGATCAATTCATACTTTTCACCCTAACACAGGGCCTAGCACGGACTAGGTCCTAAAATACGTTTGTTGAATCATTTATAGATACCGTGCCCATGTATGGTTTGCCTTTACTGACTTTATTTATAAAAGTAAGACATTTAATGTTAGTGTTTTAAAAATCCAAGAAAAACCCAGTAAAATCTCATCATTTTCTGAATGTCTTAGCGATGTTTATGCATAGCACCATCTGGTATTTGTCATTAACTGCTTTGCATAGTTGGTTGTCTTTCTGTGCATGTGTAATCCTTTGTCTTCAACTAGATTATGGCCCCTTGACAACAGGGATTGTATTTTATAGTTTATCTCCCACTGTGCCTATACGCATGCCTGTTACTTAATGAATTTTAAGCAATTTGAATAATTGAAAATAATGGAATGCTTTCAAAGAGATGACAGAAACTAACTTCTCTATTTATAGTGATGCTTTTATTATTATTATTATTCCTGTTAATTCATGAAGCTATTTCATAGCCCTAGGACTTTTAGCAATGCATGGAGACCGTGCAATAAAAGCCCCAAACTCCATTTCTATAGTCATATAAGGAGTTATGCTTATTTCCAATAATACTACAAATAATAATTCAAATCATGTCTTCCAACATGATAATACCTTAAGAAGGCTTACTTATTAATCAAGAATTGTATTAGAAACTAGCATCTAATTTATTTTCAACAGAGGATATATGTGTGTTTTAAGAAATTATGAATTTTCTAACTTATACAGTTAAAAATCAGCACTTGGAAGAAAATACCTGATAAAGGATTTATATACAGAATGTATAAAGAAATCTTACAACTCAACAATAAAATAAAAAGTGAAAATGTACTTGACCCATTTAAAAAGTAGTCAAATTACTTGTATGAACGTTCCTCCAAAGATATACAAATGGCCAGTAAGCACATGAAAAATTTCTCAGTATGATTAGGCATTAAGGAAACAAATAAAAATCACAATGAGGTAACACTTCAAACCCACTAGAACTTCGTAAAAACAGAGAAACAAACAAATCAATACAAGTGAAATTGGATCCCTCGCCGGTGGGAATGTAAAATAACACAGCCCCTTTGGAAAACAGTTTGGCTGTTCCTCAAAGAGTTAAACATAGATTTACCATGTGACCCAGCAATTTCACAGCTATGCATATATCCAAAATAACTGAAAACATATATTCGTAAAAAAACTTGTACACGAATGTTCATAGCAGCATTATTCATGATAATCAAAAAGTGGAAGCTTCAAGTGTACAATTCAACAGTAAGGCATTTATTCATAGCAGCATTATTCATGATAATCAAAAAGTGAAAGCTTCAAGTGTACAATTCAACAGTATACACACACATACACACATACACATATATATATATATTTTTTGCATTGTGTATTCACCTCCCATAGTAAGATTTCTTTCTGTCACCACATATTTGACCCCTTTTACACCGTCTACCTCTCCCCTCCCGCCTTCTCCCCCACCCTTTGGTGACCACTAGTCTATTGTCCATGTCCATGAGTCTCTGGTTTTTTGTCTTGTTTGTTTGTGGTTTTTAGGTTTATAGTCCACATATAAGTAATATCATGTGTTTTTCAGCTTTTTCTGTCTGGCTTATTTTGCTTAGCATGATTATCTCGAGGTCCATCCATGTTGTCACGAATGGCAGCATTTTATCTCTTCTTATGGCTGAGTAATATTCCATTGTATATATGTACATTGTATATATGGTGACATTGGTTAACACAGTTTCGTTAACCATTGTCACCATAATAAAAATAAATAAATTTTAAAAAATTAAAAAATAAAAGGAGGTAAGATCTAATATGGATTGATATGAAAAGATGTTCAGGATATATATTTCTTCATTGTGGTAAAATGCATATAACATAAAAGTGAGCATTTTCACATATATTTGGAACATGTACGATCTGATTCAGTATGTTTAAATTTGTATATACGATTATACATTTTAATAGTCTGAGAACATATAATAAACTGGTAATTATTTTGACTTAAAAAAAAGTGGAAGTAACCCAAATATTCATCAACTAATAAATGGATATGTCCATACCATAGAATATTATTTGGAAATTAAATGCTGATATATAGATTAGATATAGATATATAGATATAGACATGCTGATATATAATGCTGAGATATATATATATGTACATATATATACACACACACACACACTAAACATGAATGAATCTTGTAAACATTATGCAAAGTGAAGAAAGCCAGCCACAAAAGACCATATTTTGCATGATTCCATTTATGTGAAATGTCCAGAATAGGAAACTCCATAGAGACAGAAGGTAAATTAGTGGTTGCCAAGGATTGAGGCTGCAGATTGAGAGTGAATACTGATGGATATGAGGTTTTTGGGGGGCTTGATGACTATGTTCTGGAATTAGATAGCAAAGATGGGTGCATAATTTTGTAAATATACTGAAAAACACTGAATTGTACAATTTAAATGGGTGAACTTCATGGTATGTAAATTGAATACTAATAAGACTGTTAATAAAAAAGAATTGTGGAGCAAGTGAGCAGGAAAAAATGGCCTAAAATGCTTTCTGGGGAAGGGGTAATCGTGAGGAAAAAGTTCGAGAAACTTTGTTCTACAGATTACTCAATGAGCTGCTTTTGATTATCAAATATTGATTTTCTTTACTATGTGCTTCTTAATATAATTTATTCTGATCATTAAAATTTGAGTAAAATGAGAGAAACATTTCAGTACAGTTGGCCCTCTGTAGCCTCAGGTTCCCCATCTGTGAATTCAAAAGGTGGAAAATATTGAAAAAATTGTTACTTTATTGCTGACGTGTACTGTATAGTTAGGCTTAAGATGGTTATATCTGTACCGAACATGTACAGAATTTTTTCCTTGTCATTATCCCTTAAGCGATACAGTATAACAACTATTTATGTAGCATTTACATTGTATTAGATATTCCATGCAATCTAGAGATGACATAAAATATACAGGAGAGTGAGTGTGGGTTATATGTAAATACTACACCATTTTATATAAAGGACACGAGCATCCATGGATTTTAGTACCCAAAGGGGACCTGGAACCAGTCCCCCATGGATATTGAAGCATGACTGTACTTACTGTAAATCTTTTGTTTTATGTGTCCTATATTTTGCTTTAGGATAATCATTAAATAATATTATAATTCTGCATGAGAGATAAAATTTAATCCCTTCCTGACCCTTGGTAATGAAACTCTTCTGCTTTTTGCTTTTTTTTTTTAGGCGACTCAATAATAATGAATTCACAGTGTTGGAAGCTACTGGAATCTTCAAGAAACTTCCTCAACTACGTAAAATGTAAGCCGTGCATTAGCCATCTTTTTAAATTTTCATGGTGTTTTGTTATGTTTTTCCCATCCTTGTGCAATTTATTTAGATTTCTTTGAAAATCGGAAAATATAAAAGAACCACAGAAATATCCATGCAGTGACTACCGGTGGCATGAATTTAGGGTAATCTCTGAGGAGAACCAGAGGAGTTGGCTTTTTTCCGTG